CATGAAATACCGCCGCCGAATTCGAGCACAAATAAGAAACAAGCCTTGTTTGGTAAAGAAAGTGAGAAAGGAACTGGTAGTTCAGCTTGGATAGACAATTTTTTCATCGATTGATGTGGGAACTTTGTAATGTTAGAACCACTGTATGCTGAATATAAGATTGAAAGATTGACAGGTATCCCGAATTTGGGTCCATTCGTCAAATTTGGGCCCACGATAGACTGCTATTGTATACGATTGCCACGTCCGTAATTATTTTTGACTTTTTACTTAAATCCAAATTTATTGGATTATTCAAGGATCTGGTTTCCCGGTAATATGAAACTACAACCAGATAAGTATTCAATTTAAAAATTAGGAATCGAGCGGATGAGGGATCGCATCGTTCGACGCTTAACGCTTTGGGTGCGGAGCCATTTGTCATCAACATAATTGGTGGGTAATTAAAACGCCATACTCCCTTACTCTGACTAACTTCCTGTAAGAACCCAACTGACAAAGATTAAAGCACCCGTCTTCTCCATAAGAGCCGCAATGGTTTTGATAAATCGAAAACCGCTCCTCCTAACCCCTCTTTCCCCCCAACACAGTGAGTATGGATCCTTCTCAAATCAATGAGAATGTTCAAAGGATGTCGAGGATGAAGCCCCAAAACTGGGTCAATAAGGAGCTTCTTGATACCTACAGATGCCTCATCAACGCGGAAACTGTCAAGAAGGAAGGGAAACTGACAAAGTTCTTCTTTCCGATTTGCCTCGGTGTGGGTGAACCATGTGTTTAAACATCTATAATTTTATCGTTTTATTGTTAAGGGTTTTTGGAATGGTTGGTTGTTTCCACTGACGTTTGCATTTTAATGTGTTAGGACAAGGCGAAGGCTGACTGCGCTGCTCGTCGCGTTCCGAATCGGAAAACTATCCCTGCTATTTGGGAAGTCCACCACGATTGGGAGATGTTTCCTCTACCCCCCGGTGCCTCTTTTAAAGTCTGTACGCTGGTAAGCAGCTCATATACAAATTGTATTTATGAAAACTAATGTGAAATTAAAATTCCGTCATTTGTAATTTTATCGTGGGGCGTTCAGTTTATGTTCTCAATATATGAGCAAGGATCGGGCATGTCGTATGTGTTCGCTGCAGACGTGAGGAAATGTCAAACCTATCTCCTCGAAAGCATACTGCATGAAGAGGACGACTTGTTCATAGAATTAATGCTAATGGGTAGGAGGATCTTTGAGTATGCAAGTGAATTTTTTCGGAAGAATGGTATGAGAAATTGACCCATGCATGAATGGGATTTCTTGGTTGATGAAGAAGCTCCCAGGGCCTTCGACGTTAGGGACTGTGGTGTGTTTTCTTGCGTTTTCATGTCTGAGTAGAAGGGCGAGTTCGAGAATGAGTTGGTCATTATGTCAAAGAGTCAAGACTTTGCGGAGAGTCATGGAAGCCTCATAGCGACTTCGCTTCTAAAATGTGTGGAGGGAGGAGGAAGCGACATTGCTGTGGTGGCATCCGCTGAAGAGTCCAAGGAAGATGCTAGTTCATCAACTTCGAGCAGGAAGAGGGCGAGGTCTGAGTAGAAGATCGTCTATGTTGTTTTTTGCTATTAAGTTAAGCCTGGATATTTGTAATTGTTGGCTTTAATTTGTCATTTTGCAATGTCCCAGACAGTTATGGGGATATTTATCCTTCTTTAAGTACTTTCTACTCCAGTGGGAGTTATTTTTTGGAAATGAACAATATTTTTGTTTTAATTATGCTACTGTTGATTTCTAAAATAATTTCTTATTATCTGTTTAATATCGTATTCGACTTGGGGTAAGTATTAGATTACCCATTTTAAGTAGTATTTATTACATGTAGCTTTAATATAGTATTAATTCTTTCCTAATATCATATTCGTCATGTATCATTATTATATTAACTGCATATTAGGCATATTTTTTTATCAAATTTTGGTTGTGGAATAGAGGATTAAATGTTTTGTAGTATAACGTTTTCTCGCCAACGACCCATTGTGCTATTTCAAAAAAAGTGCTTTTATTTATCACAGGGTTTTTAAGTATGTTGTGGATAAATTACGACCTCAGTTTAAATAGAACCAGGTTAGTTGCAATCTGATTCTGAGAACTATGTATTATATTCTGACTAGGGGAATATAATATTCACCTTGTAAAGGTCATAAATGTGATGATGGCCATATATGAAAAGACGGGTTCTGTAATGTCTTATCGACGGAGAGGCTACTTATGCTCCAGGGAAGGAAAGTCAGATCTCCTCGTTGGTCGAACCAAAGTTTATGTTCATTGAGACTTCTTACCTCCTTGTTTCCTCTATCATCTCAAATCAAAAGGTGTGTATTGTTTTGCCCATGTGGATAGCTTTGTTGCTCTGTGACGGTAAAACAGGCTCAATCGCAATTGGTTGGCAGTACCTATGCTTTCATTTCAGGAATTAATGGCTCAACGCTACAAAGTGTACTAATTAGGGCAACAGGTGAATATATAATTTTAACCTTTCAAATATTAGAATAATATGTTAATAATACTTCACAAAATGTTTCCTTCACCAGGACACTTTAAATGGGTTGAGTTGTTTCCTCAAGCGCTTACACTTTTATCCACAAAAGCTTTTCTTCACATAACGGGATCATCCTTCCCTCACAATGTATCCCATTACTTACTTTCCTAGCACCCCCTTGATTCCACTTCTTGGCCGAGAGTGCAACGCCTTCAGCTACGACGACGATCCCAACCTCATATGTTTTTGCGGCCTATGAGGGAGCATGTGTAAGTTTCCAAACACCACTGATGGTTGCCCACTTTACTTTGGGTGCTATTGGAATTATTACGAGGTTTCCCCCCGATGTTCTTACATTTTGTTAATTTTTGTAAGTAACATACCACCTACATTTGTACGTGCAGGATGCTCATCCAAAATTCTTCGGACCCGGGTGTGGCTACTTTGAACGCTTGGACGACGTGATAAATAGGAAAAATCGTAAAAGCTTACCCATGGAACGTGACCACTAAAATGCTGTCTGATGAAGAAGATAGGGAAGTAGGGTACGAGCTATGGGCCTCTACCAAGAATGATGAACCGGGGGTCGTGCATGGTGTGGAAGAATCGGTGCCTAGTTGTTCTAATTATCGATTACCAGAACCCTTGCTCTAAAAAAAGTACTGTCTTTATCTATTAGTATTTTAGAGGTTAAATGTTCCATGTTCAATTATCCGTGATGTTTTAGCATTAGTTGCTATGCATGCTATATATGTTGTATGCTATATGTTATCCTAAGTGATTGTTTGTTTCTTTTGGATAAGTTTTTGTAGATACATAGCACTCCCATCTAAACATTGGAAGTCTGACGTATCTAGAATGATTGAATTTTTTTTTGCTATCAAGCACTGTATTAATTTTCATTAAGACATATGTACTAATCAGTAAATATGTACTTGATAGACCATTGATTGCACATGTTTTTACCCCTATTCTTGAGCCGTTTGAGAGGTTGATCCTCGTGTTTTAAGCCGATTTCACGCTAGGTTGTGCGTTTATGTCATCTTTCAGGACTTAGCGTCGGCATCGAGGCAAAGAAATGAGTTTCGGGTCGAAAGGAGCATGTTTGGGTTGAAGTGTGCCGGAGGAGCAAAATACCCGGCGATGAGCAGAAATACCCGGCCAGGTATTAATTGGAGCAGACCGGGGAATTCATGTTTCGGGCGTTTGAGAAGCAGAAAGGGGCCCGAGCAGTAATGATAAATCCCCGGTCGGGTATTCTTGGCCCAGGCCGGAGATTAACCCTTTTCCCAGACGGTGCGTTTTGAAGATACCCGGTCTCCACCCAAAATACCCGACCGGGTATTCAGATCGGGGATCGCGGCAGACCGCTTCTTAAGGGAAAAGAAGGGCAAAAGTGAAGGGTTCCGAGTTTTGGAGAGAAAAAAGCGTATACCTAGAGAGAGAAAGTGACGAACCTGATTCTGCAAGTGTCCTTGATCGATCTCCATCACCATTGGAGCCTGGCTTGAGCTTGGAGAAGAGCTGATTGAGTGCCAGAAGCAGATTCTCATCCTTCACAGTATGGTTTCGCATCTGAGCTAGATTTCCCATCTCTCTCTATGGAGTAACTTTCTTATTCACCTAGGTATGAAGAACCCTAGATTTGTATGTTAGGTCTGATTGTATGAACCCAAGTACAGATTCAGTGATATGATTATGTTCAATTGAGGTTTGATTTGTTGAATGGCATGAATTCTGATCAAATTCCTGTTATTTCTGCTTTGACCTAGAAAGAGGATATCTGCCTAGGTTGATAGAGCGTCCTTGATTGAAGGTAGTGAATTGACGACTTAAGTCGAGGAGTCAATTCACTATTATGTACCGGATTTACTTCGGTAGTGGAGGTTTGGTTCGTTAGGGCCTCAATCTGTTTACTCTGGTGGAGGTTAGTCGGCCGCTGGGACTCAGATTGAGAGGGTCTGGAGACCTTTAGTCGAGACTGCAGAATGTTTAAGAGCCTTCCGTAGTATAACTATCATTGGAATTGAACTTGGTAAATTATAATCCGGCTTAACTGCAGACTAGGGGAAACCATATCCGGGTGACCTCTCTCGACTTGAAAACAACCTTTTTACTTGCTTTGCTTGTTTGCTTGTTTGGATCTTCACTACACCTTCACTGCTAAATAACAAGAACTCACGGAGTAGTCATCACACTTAGGACCCGGGTTGACATTAAAACCCAAACCCGATATACTACGCTTTAGGAGGTGGTTACACTTGGCCATTTTCTAAAGTGACGGTAGGAGCGAGTCAGTACTCTCACGTTTACTCCTGATAAATAAAAAGTCAAAATCCCTAACTCGATGAAATACTTCATATCTTACAACAAACCATATTCAAAAAATCACACAAATTTCTCTGGCCTACGCATATTCTAAATCGACAGCCGAGCAAAACGAAAAAGCCAACATCTCTAAATACAAAATACTATCCAATCATGCCGAAGTTGAAAACGCGGAATCACAAGGACAACAAGACAGTGTCAAAGAAAAGGAAGAACGATGAAGCGGATAGTAGGAGTCGGTCGAGATCTCTAGATATGAGGAAGCGAAGGAAAATACAAGCTACCAACGCAGACAAAATTGCAAGATCAGGGAAGCGAGAAAAGATTGAATCATGCAAGAAAGACGACAGGGAGAATAAAAGCAAAGAGACAGATAAGTTCAAGTTTCGTTGCAGAACCAATGGTATACATAAAATACGAGCGCAACTCTACAAGAAAGGAGCTAATCTAGAAGGTATCAATAGTCAACTGGATAAGGCTGGCCTGAGGGGCATCCTTGAGGTATCAATTACTGTGGTCGACCATGGCATTGTTTCAGATATCATCATGTTGTACGATCCATCCAGCGGACTTTTTGACATGGGGGGAAGGTAAGTTAATACTCCCCTGGGGGTGTATGTTATCAAAGTCACGCAGCTAATGACTCAATCGAAGGATCGATTGATCTCGAATCAAGAACAACGCGTTCTTAATACGAACTTGGATAAAACGGAACCAAAACGACGATTCCGCACCTGGGGAACGCTCCATTGGTAGAAAAGGTAGATGCCCGACCATGATTGAAGTGACTATTCAATCGATACAAGAGCTCACGAGCTTGGAATCCACCAAACTCAACACAAGTCGCAACTTGCACAAAAACCAAAAGGTTCTCAATTCGATTAATCAAAGTCTTATGTTTTTACAACGTAAATAGAACGGTATTTAAAGACAAATAAAACTTAATACAATCCTAATATAACTAGGAAACAATTAAGGTAAAAGTATACACAAAAAAGGACACAAAATTCAGGTTTAAACTCCCTTTCTTGAAGCACAAGTAAGCTGCCCACAAACAATCAAAAGGAAGCTTTCATACTAACTTCGCGCCTTTCGTTTGAGGCCTTACAGAACTCCAATCCTTCATCCAATTCCTTTCCTCTGTAAATAAACATACCTAGTTTCATGTTGTGGAAGCCTTTGGACTTGAATCAGATCCATACTCCTCGAATTGAGCTCCAAAGTAGGCTTCACAAAACAGTTTCCAGACTTAAACCATTTTCTGGCAGACTTAAACCATTTCCAAATCGGGTCACGAAATAGGTACCTCGAACTTGCAATGTCGAACTTCAACACTGCGTTAACTCGCGAATTTGCTGCTGTTTCCCACGATTTGAGCTTCATCACGTTTTTGGGACTCCAATGGACCTTCCCCTCACAAAAATCGAATGAAATTTGACCCAGACTCGGCTCGTGCAATTTTTCGAACTCCGGCGAGAATTTCCCAGAATCCGGCGCCGGCGAGGACTCCGGCGAGGTCTTCCAAATTGGGATTTTCTTCTCAGGACCTCCCTGATCGAATTAGTTGCTCCCAATAGACTCATCTCGATCCCACGAATGGAACACAACTACTCCCGTGCGTCGAAATTGAGTAAACCGCTTCCAATTCAACTTCCAGTGTTTCCCGCCGTCGGGAAATTTGAAATTCCCTGATTCCGGAGAGTGAATTCCAGTTTCCGGCGACCCAAAATTGAAATTGGGGAATTGCGATTCAGGCATTTTCGTACCAATTTTTGCGCACCTACACCATCTTTTGGCACCTAAGAATCGATTCCAAACATTCTATTGGATCGAATCACAATCAAAACCCGCAACCAATTCACCCTTCTCGTGGTTGTTGTTCTTCGCGTTCGGGGTCAAAAAACCCAGATTGGGTATTTTTGATTCTGTTCTCTTCGTGTTGAATTGAGAAATCCCACACCTTCCATGCATCGCCTTTGACGATTCTGCAGAGCCAATTTGGCTCAAATGGAGCTGGGGTATGCTGCGCAAGAAGTGTTCTTGGCCACCCTTGTTCGTCCCAAACAGAGGCATCACTTGCGAGTTTGAGGTTTCCCTTGCATGCAAGGCCACCTCCATTGAAGCTACGGGCGACGTTTTTAGGGTCGGAAGGAACGTTTCTGCGTCGGTGGCGAGTCTCGACTCATTCCCGAGTTCTCCAACCAATCCATTCTCTCTGTGCTCTGTTTCGTAGGAATGTGGCAGAGTGTCGTAGTCTCCTTCAATGGCTTGATTCGAGAGACTTCAGGTATCTCCAGCGCCACAGCTTCATTGATCGAAATTTCTCTACCATCAAAGAGAACTTCTGCACTTGCCTGCGTGTTTGAATCGTCCTGTACCTCCTCGGATTTGCCTTGCTCCTCAACATCCTGTTTCTCCAGCGCAAAATAGAGCTCTTGCTGGGCAGAAAAGGGGTCGATTTGTGCAGCGGGTTCCGTCGTGAATTTTTGCTTCTGTGGCCTTCTAAAGCTCATGAAGTTGAAGCAAACTCGCCTCTGAACCCACAATTGAGCTTATGACTCCTTTCCCGTAGCTCGATTCTCCTCCATTTGTTTTAAATCGGCAAAAACTGCATCGGGGGACATAGGCTTCAATTTGATCTTCTTGCCCTCATGTTTAAATGTATATGAATTCTCCCAGCCATCATGTAGCACCCTTTTGTCGAATTGCCAAGGTCTACCCAACAGAATATGAACGTTTTGCATTGGTACTACGTCACAGAGAACCGTATCTCTGTACTTACCAATGATGAATTTGATTTGTGCTTGTTTGTTGACCTTCACGTCTCCATGTTCGTTGATCCAGGTGAGATGATACGGTTTAGGGTGCTTCTGGGTTTTCAATTCAAGATTTTCTACGGCATACGTACTGATCAAATTCGCACAACTCCCTTCATCGATCACCAACAAAGCGATTTTGCCGTTAATCTCACATCGGCTATGAAATAAGTTGTCCCGCTGCTCGTCGGACTCTCTATGCTTGATTATGATTGCTGGAGGCATTTCTTTGCTACAATTTCGTGGGTGCTTGGCCTCGGTGCTGCCCTCTATCAACTTATTAGCTCCAACCACGTTTGCCCTTGCAATTTAGCTACGGATAGCAACTGCAAAGCATAAACAGGGGTTTCCCTGTTTTGGAATTAAATTCTGCTTGTATCGAAACGATTGATTGCTTCTTCTTCTTCTTCTTCGCCCTCGTGTAGAACCAGGCTCTGATACCACTTAATACACCCCTGGGGGGTGTATGTTATCAAATTCACGCAGCTAACGACTCAGTCGAAGGATCGATTGAGCTCGAATCAAGAACAACACGTTCTTAATACGAACTTGGATAAAACGGAACCGAAAGGACGATTCCACACCTGGGGAACGCTCGATTGGTATAAAAGGTAGATGCCCGACCACGATTGAAGTGACTATTCAATCGATACAAGAGCTCACGAGCTTGGAATCCACCAAACTCAACACAAGTCGCAACTTGCACAAAAACCAAAAGGTTCTCAATTCGATTAATCAAAGTCTTATGTTTTTACAACGTAAATAAAACGGTATTTAAAGACAAATAAAACCTAATACAATCCTAATAGAACTAGGAAACAATTAAGGTAAAAGTATACACTAAAAAGGTCACAAACGGGTTTAAACTCCCTTTCTTGAAGCACAAGTAAGCTGCCCGCAAAACAGTCAAAAGGCAGCTTTCATACTAACTTCGCGCCTTTCGTTCGAGGCCTTACAGAACTCCAATTCTTCATCCAATTCCTTTCCTCTGTACATAAACATACCTAGTTTCATGTTGTGGAAGCCTTTGGACTTGAATCTGATCCATACTCCTCGAATTGAGCTCCAAAGTAGGCTTCACAAAACAGTTTCCAGACTTAAACCATTTTCTGGCAGTTTAAGTTTTGAGGTAGCAACTTTGAGACCTTGGAAAACAACCTTAATAACATCCTCTGGATCCAAAAAGCATACCATAGGAAACATGGCAACTTTATCTTTAAAACAAGCTCTTGATCTCCAATTTTCATTGAGCTACTTGTGAGATACAAGCTTCCAAAGTAGGCTATCTGAAACTGTTTCAACACTTAGCAAAAAATAAGAATTCTTCAAGTGAGTTGAGATGGCTTCCTTGGGAAGTAATTGTGAATTGTGGATGGATCCAATTGGGATCATACTAGGTTGTATCAGAGACTGGTAAAAATGTTACTTGATACGACCCTTGGGGGGGGGGGGTGGGGGGTGGGGGTGTATTTTTATTAAAGTAACGCAGCAAACAATCAATTTAAAGATTGATTGAACTCGAATCAAGAACAACGCGTTCTTAATACGAAATTGGGATAAAACAGGACGAACAGACAATACCACACCTGGGGAAAGCTCATATGGTATAAAAGGGTAGCTGCTCGACCACGATTAAAGAGAATATTCAATCGATACAAAGCTCACAAGCTTGGAATCCACCAAACTCAAACAAGTCGCAAGTTGCACAAACCAAAGGTTTGTTTTTCGATTAATCAATTTCTTCTCTTTTTACAACGTAAATAGAACGGTATTTAAAGGAAAATAAAACCTAATACAATCCTAATAGAACTAGGCAACATTAAGGTAAAAGTCTACACTAAAAAGGACACAAATTTCATGAAGCACAAGTAAGCTGCCAGCAACAGTCCAAAAGCAGCTTTTGTACTAACTTCACGCCTTTCGTTCGTGACCTTCCAGAGCTCCAATTCTTCATCCAATTCCTTCCCTTTGTTCACAAACATACATAGTTTCATGTTGTGAAAGCCTTTTGATTCCCATCGATGCTCCTTAAATTGAGCTCCAAAGTAGGCTTCACAAAACAGTTTTCTACCTTAGCCATTTTCTGGTAGTTTTCCAGTTTTGATGTAGCAACTTTGAGGCCTTGCAAAACAACCTTAATGACATCTTTTGGATCCTCAAAGCATACCATTGGAAACATGGCAACTTTATCTGTAAAACAAGCCCTTAAACTCCAATTTTTACTGAACCAATTGTGAGAACCATGCCTCCAATGTAGGCATCTCGAAACTGCCCCTACACTTAACCAAATTCTGCCTTTCTTCTTTCCAACCTGGATAGCTTCTTTGGCAAGTAATTGTGACTTGTAGAAGTGGCCAATTTGGATCATATCAGGCTCCCCCTCTTCAAAAAGATTTGCCCTCAAAGCTTGTTCCGACCTCTTCTCAAAATTGCCACAAAATTGATCCCAAATTGGATCGAAAGAGGACTGCCCAAACACACTTTTTGGCAAAATATATTTGAACTTCAAATTCTTCTCCAGCCTGTAAATTGGCTTCTGTTCTCAACGATTTGAGCTTCATTAGATTCGTAGGGCTCCAACGGACCTTCCCCACGCAATCAGTGTGCTCGAATACATCAAGAATCGAAGTTGGCCGTTTTCCAGAATCCGGCGAGCATTTTGCAGATTCCGGCGAACCCGAGGTTTCCAGCGAGGGCACATCAATTGGGGCTTTCTTCTCGAAGCCTCCACTATTCAATTCATTGCCTCTGATCGAATTTCCAGGATCTCAAGACGCG